CATTTCCCATTTTTATCATGTTTTTCAGGTCAGGATGTCGGGCAGGGAGCGTGAGATGACGAAGGCTTCAGGACTTTCATGTTTTGATTGTATATATAATATGACGATTTATGTTTCCGCTGATGATGGCTTTTGACGAACTTATGTTTTGACAGGACTTTTGGAAAACATTATGCTTTCAGTATCAGTATGATTTTATTAAAAATTAAAATAACGGTTTTCTAAATTAAGTCACGTTTTTTAAGGTAGCACCTCAAATCAGTTTTCGCAAAGTAAAAGATTTATTTTTAAAAGACTTTGCAAAATTTTCGCACTCTGATTTTACGATAAGGCGGGGTGTTACACTATCAATACCGTTAAACACAATCGAATCCTCAAATAAATTCTCTCACATACCATACACCGTATCAACTCCCGAATCCATACACTCACTCTCAACAATAGAATCAAAGCTCAAAGAACTATCACCGGAAGAGAAATTTGACGTACCTAATGTAGAATGCACGGCCAAATCGTCAAAAGAGGGAATTTCCTTAACAATCAAATCGTCGATGTCCTCACTCGTGTCGAGAGATTGTGTTCCATCATAAACGAGAGTGAGGCCCACCTCTTTCAAAGAGGCAAACCTATCCACCATAGCTCGAAACTCGCCTTCTAACCGGGTGCTCTCTCGAATAACCCTCGTCTATAGAGAACAATATCTACCGAGCAGAATGTGAGATGTGTCCAAATCAAAGAAAGAGACCACGGTAGAGTCGAACTTCGTGAGTGTGATTTGAAGAACAGATGGAATGGGGATGCTCTTCCAACTATGAAACTCCTCAATGATCGACATGAGGCTCGCAAGTGCCTCTTGAGTGCTCGCCAAAACCTCTCGGTGACATTGGGAAGGCACAACCGTTGATGGAATTGAAGCTTCGATCCTTGGTGTACAAGGTTGGCCAAGCGATAGGTGCTCAAATGATAGAGAAGATGGAACATGGGACTCGGTTTCCTCGTTTACGGATGTGGGAGCCATTGAAGCGTGAAGGGATCGATTGCACTCCTCTAAGTGCTCCATAATATCGACTAGATTGACTCGAGAAGATTCTCGAGTTGGCTCGGGTGGAGATGTCGCATCATAAAAATCGGGAGGCAGTGGATAATAGTGAAGCGTCTCGTCGTGACCCGGAGAATAATAACCAAAATCAACTTGCGATGACGGGTAAAAAGGGCTCGGATACGGATAGGGCGGTCCTCCATACAAGTATATCTTCACATGATAGTTGTCGGGGTATCCACTAGATGAGCTACCGGCATAAGAATATCCGTACTGGTCCATCGGAGCTCCTCAAGCAAAATACCTCGCACAAGAAAAACAAAACAACCAAGGCACACGAGGCAAAAGAAAGAAAATACAAAACGAAACTAACACGACATGATATGTACACGAACACACAAAGCAAAAGCCAGAGAAATGGAAAATAAGGCGATAATCAAGAGAAACACACAAAATCAAGAAAAAAGCAACAAAAAGCAAGAGAAACACAAAAACAAACGACAACTAGATAATAAACTTGGTGATGGAGACGAGATCGCGATGGCATTTATGGACAAATATGATCGTTTACCATCTTTAGTTTAATTATTATTTTCCTACTTATTTTATTATTATGCTTTATTTCCTTTTCCTACTTAGTAGATGAATAATTTATTTCCTTTGGGATTTTATTTATTTAGGAAATTAGGGATTTAGCTTGATAGGTCTCTATATATTGTCTTTTCTTCTTCAAAGAGAGACAGACTTTTACGAATAAATTTTATCAGATTGAGTTTTCTCATCTTGTTCCCCTTTCGTTTATTGTTGCGCTACATCAGTTGGTACTCAGAGTTAGCTACGATCCGAGATGCCGCCCAAGAGGAACGATCCCGCAGACGACAGGAGGGACGCGGCGATTGAAGCCCTAACGCGGCAC